GCCCGCCGTCGCCATGGCCCGGGCGGTGCAGGCAGGCCGCGCCTACGCCTCCCGGCAGCCCCCGCGCGGGCGCGGCGCGGGGCGCGGCGGGAAAGCGAGTCCGCGGCGGAGACTGCGCGGAGGAGGCGCGGCGCTTGACCCGGGCCGCCCCCTCCCCCGCAAATCTGGCTGCTCCCTGCGTTTAAACTCCTCAGGCTGAAATAGTCTGCAAAATGTGCTTATGTTCTGCATCTCTGCTTCTGATTAATGATGTATTTTTATACCCTGAGTTATTGCATTTGTGTCTTGGAGACAACTGACTAGTAAAACTGAACGCCTTGAGCTTTGGAGTGGAATTAAATTAAAATGCAATAATAATCTTGAAATGTGGCCTGCAATAAAATCCCAATCCCTGAAAATACCTTCGTTGGAAACAGGCAAAATACCTCCATTTACTTTTTTTTTAACAAACCCTCAAAAAGCAGTTTCAGTGTGCGTGTGCAAATACTCCTGACCCAAGGCACTTGGAGAGTGATCAACAGTGCCCGTTCCACGGAGCCCGTGCTTACGCAACTTTCCACGCACGTGGACAAATCTTTCCTAAAGCCACGGCGAACATGGGCTTCCTGCGGCCTTGTGCAGAGCCTGCCCTGCCTCTTTAACTGGTGACCATTCCGTGGTTTCTCTGATTTTGGCAGTTGTCTCCCAGTTTGCAGAAGCCAAAATCCCGTTCCCAACCCAGGCAGCTCGAACTGTAGCACAGCCGGTTGCTGGCCGTTGGGTTTTTCCAGAACGGAGCTCAGGCCTCAGGGTGGAAGAGGCCGATGCCCCGACGTCACCCCCCGCCCCGAAAACCTTGGCCTGGCGGTCAGGATGCGGGGTCTTTCCAGGGAGGATTTTGCCAGGCGAGGAGTGGAGGATGCTTCCCAGAGGCAAAGCCTGGCTGTTTCCTCATTGCAGAAGAGCGCGCTCAGCCTGCTGACCTGCGGAGCCATCCCAGCGAGGCGAACATGGAAGCCGGGTCGTCTCGCCTGCACCGGAGCGAGCGCAGCGGGGCTGCAGCCGTCCGCAGAGAGCGCGCCGACTCGCCGACCCACCGGCCCGGGGGCTGCTGCGCCAGACGGGCCAGATACGGGACCCCCGGCGGCCAGTGGGGTCCCCGACCCGGCTTTCGCAGAAGAGCCGCCTCCTTATTCACCTCCGGACCCGAAGACCGCCCGCCTCCTCTTCCCGGCCTTCGCAAGCGACGTGCCTGGGCACGGACCCGTCGAAGCAGCAGCCCGGGGGGCACGCGGGCCCCTGCGCCTTCGCCATTGTAGGTCGGCGCCTTCCCTGTGCGGCGGGCGCTTCCTTGTGCCCTCGCCCCCAGCCGGCTTCTGCTCAGCCACTCGCTGACCACGCCTGGTGCAGGATGCCGAGGGGCAGCCATCTTTCTGTGGGAAGAGGCTGTGGGGGATTCTCTTGAAAAGCTTCGGTTTGGTACCAGGACAGGGCTCAGTGCCCTGCAAGAGTGTGAGGCCCATGGGTGCCCCAAAGGGGGGGTGGGAGAAGGACACACCAGCTGCACACACCAACGATAAGCAGGGTGGTATGGCACAGTGGTTAGAGCACTGGATACAGGCATGGAGCTCACTGGCTGACTTTGAGCCCATCGGACTCTCAGCCTAGCCTACCTCACAGGGTTGTGGTTGTAAGGATAACATGGAGAGGAAGAGTACCTAAACCTTGGAAGGAAAAGTGGAGGATCAATATAGTCAGTATAGATGCAATTTAGAAATAATCTGCATAATCTACATGGAAACTCCGTCGTCTTACTGTGGAAGACTGACCAGCTGAGCGGCGTTCCACGCTTGGCCACGCTCCATGCCAACCAAGTCCCAGCTCTTCCTTGAGATGGTTTAAACCAGATGAGCGGCTCTTTAAACCAGACCTGGGCAGGATGCCCCTTCTAGTGGAAGACGCCTCTGAAACCGAGGGCAGTCCTCTGGTGGCCCTTCAAATAGAGGCCCATCCTCTGTAAAGTAGGACACCTGGCCACCCTCAGGACTGGGCTGTGTATTTAATGTGGGAATTGAGGGTTTTCCTGCTCTCCGTTTGGGATGAAACCAAACCCCTGGCTGCTCACAGAATAATCATCTGCCAAGACATTATTAGCTGGCCTCCTTTCGACTGCAGAAGATAATTGTCAGTCTGGTGGCCAAGATCAATTAGATAAATTAAATGTGTTTAGCTCTTTGGCAGCATTTATTTTGGTCCTGCTGGTCACAGAAGAGGGGAGTGGCCAGGCACGCAGGCAGAAATGCGAGAATGCCCGCTTTCTTGGTCCCCACAAACTCTTCCGATCCCACCGGTGGGCACTTGGTCAAGCTGTCTTGACAACCAGCCTTCCCCATCTGGTGACTTCTAGACACTCTGGATTTCAGCTCCTATCAGTCGCAGCCAGCATGCTGGGAGTCATGGTCCAAAACATCAGGTGGGGCAAGATCCACATTGAATCCTTGAGGGCTAGAAGCTTGACTTCTGAAGGGGAGGAAGCACCAAATACCATTTCTCTGCTTCCTAGCACAGCTGCTGCTCCAAACTGTACAACTGCTTCTATCTTCCTCATGCAAAAAGCAAACATGACAGAAAATGCTCTCCAGCCCTGATCTTGCTTTTAAGAAAGAAGCTGCCAGAGCATGTGTTCTGCACTCCCACATTCAAAACTCACTGCCGGTGACTGCAGGGACAAAATGGAGTTTGCTGTTGCTGACTTGGACAGAAGAACTGTTCTGTTGCAGGCAAAGAAAATATATTTGAAAACTGAAAATGATGAGCATAGACATGCCAGGCTGGTCACCCCTGACTATTAAATAGGGTGCACTTTTCAATAAATAGGAAAAAGTTCATGGAGGTGCTGGCCTTCCCCCCAAACCCACTGCTAACTCAGCCACTGGCATGAGGAATGGCCCAAGGAAAGGGGGGAGGAAGCCCCCCCAAGCTTTGCCCCATCCTGTTAAGCACACGAAGCCCCCAGGTTCTTCCCGGCTCTCCGCAGATGGAGCGCTTCTTGCCCCGGTGAGCTGGCAGCAGAAAACACGGCTTCTCTCTTGCAGTATGACCGTTCCCTGTTCGGTGAGGTCCCCATGGTGGAATCCGAGCTCGTGGTGCTCTTCTGCTGCTTGCTGACTGGAGGGATCGCGTTTGTCTATTCGCACGAGGTGGGCAGGGCCTTCTGGGTGGGAGGGTGTGCAGGGTCAAGCACCTGTTCAACAGGTCTCCAGGTGGGGCCGGGCAAGTGCCCCTGGAGGAAGGCCGGGATTCCACAGTGGAGCCCCGTGGTCCATAGGCCAGGACGCCTGGAGGAGCACAAGCCGCCCATGCCCGGTGCCAGGCCAGCGCCAAGGATCGGCATGGGTGGGCCCTGCCAAGGCCCCCCATGCAGCAGGGGCCTGTTCACAGAGGGCCACTGGAGATGCTCTGCCTTTCCCTGTTGCACATCCCCGGTGCACTGGCCAGGCAACCGCGGTGATGAGGAGAAAGCTCCTATGCTCTGGTGGACTGGCTCCTTGGCTCTCCGCCGGTCCAGGGGGCTCCTGAATGGCACAATTAAAAGGCCTGTATCTGGATGCTCAAGACTGCAAGGGCAGGATGGGGGGGCCTAGCCTGGCAGCTGTGCATGTGAAGGGACTAAACCCACTGCAAGCTGCGACGCCAGGTGTGCCTCACGCACCAGCCCTGAACCTGTCCAAACTTCGGCAGGAGTGTCCCTGCGCGAGCTGAACGTGAGCCAGTAGCGTGATGCAGCAGCAGAAAAGGCTCATGCCACCCCGGGCTGCATAAGGAGAAGCACAGTGTCCGGCTCATGGGCAGTCATCTGGGTTTCCCATGTTAAGGTGGACATAGATAAAATGGAGCGAGCCCTGAGAAGGGCAGCCAGGAGAGGGTGGGCTGTTCTGTGGAGGGGCTTGAGAAGACTGGGGTGGGTGGGGGCACAGCAGCGGTCTCCAGATATCTGGAAAGCTGCCATGCAGATGAAGGTGGATATTCCATCACTGGAAGTATTTTAAGTGGAGGCTGGACGGCTACCTGTCTGGTTCAATGAAGCTGTTTTAGTCTGATTGGCAGGTTAGTTTTGATGATCTCCAAGGTTCCTCCCAGCTCTTAGTTTTTCTGAATCCTATAAAGGACCAAAAGCAGCCTAAGGGGATGCTCCACCATCGCCTCTTTGCACCCCAATAGCCTTTACACCTCCTCAAACTTTCAGTGGTGGCTTCATTTTGGTGGCTTTTCTCTCTCCCAACCAGAACTTGGTTGCTTGAACTGGGCTCAGTTTCTCGCCTGGCCAGGGAATTGTAGGGTTTCCTACCTGGCCCTTGTCTGAAAATGCAGGATCATGCCCTTAAAAAGATAAGCAGGATTCCCACTGACACACGGTCACCAAGACTTAGATTCACCCTTGCATGCGCTGCCTTGGTTCCTTTCGGCCCCACTGCACTTTCTGGCTCAGTGGCATTTCCTCTCCAACTGTAGGCACGAAAGGCTGCGAACCAGGGGGGCCTCATCCAGGCCACGGCTGCCTCCCAAAAAGCTCGCTGGCTCATCCTGTTTAGCCTGCTTTTTGGCGTCGTCTCAGCCAGCTGGGTGATCTACGTACTGGTAACGCTGAACCTGTGATCCAGGACCTCGGAGATTCCTGACCTCCCCTTGGCAGACACACCTGGGGCACAGAGGAGAGAGGACTCCATGCAGAAGTCTTGTCCAGAGCCACCTGGCCACTGCCCCTTGCTGGGGCCTCCCCTTCGAGCAGGCCGATTGGCCACCCTAGCCGGAGCCTTGGTGGATTGCTCTTATCAGCTATACTGGCCGGAGGAAACAGCCAGCAAAAGTGGGAAAGATGCTTCCCGAATGGATGAAACACACACGACCCCAGGGAAACA